TTTCTTCTGACACATGCAAAGAGGTAACCGGTCTATGGTGCACAAGTTGGAAATGAGATCTTGAGTAGAGAGGTAACCTACCGAGAGCATTACATCTTGGAACGAAACGGTGCACAAATTCATGAAGAAATTCTTTGCACCCTCTCTAGTCAATTATATCTAAGATATCACATTCAAGCAACACAAACTCGATAGTTATCAAGACGCATGGGGTAGATTCAAAGGTCTACTAAGGAAATGCCTCACCATTACTTTAACAAACTGACCTAAGCTACCATTATCTATCAGGGTCTCCTATCCAAATTCCGCATATGAAACAATCAAGAAAACAATAAGAAGATACTATACAAGTGAATATGCATGAAAACATGATCAAAGACAAGATAAAAAAAGTCGAATCGAGCAAGTTATTTAATGCCATGAAATTGCTTATTTAAAACTTTAATTCTTAGTGGTCATTTATTTTATAATTTTTAGCAAGAATTTAATGTTTTCTTCAATTTTGTACCCTGTTCATATTTCTCTTTTGAAAGTATTGTATACAACTATAAAATTGACTAATGTGCGGTAAACGTGCGTGATAAGTGCATTTTTGTGCACTTATTTGGGGTCATTTTACTAAACTTTTGTTTCGTTTTATTATTGCATTTGACTTAACTAAGGTTATTTTTATTTTATTTCAGTTTTGGACTTGTTTCTAAGCAATTGAAAAAGAAAGAATGATAAATCAGCCAATTGATGGAAGTTTTGGGACTAATATGCATTTGATTAAAAGTTAAAACACTAAAATTAAAGTAATTTGATGTGAAGGACTAAGATGGAAAAAAGAATGAAAAAAATGGGTGAAAAGAAATTCGCAAAAGTTTTATAACTGGGCAGCCTCCCAGTTATATTGGGCCATCAACATCATCAACAAGAGCCATTTATTAAGCCTGGGCGACCGTCCCATTTTCTACTGGGCACCAGCCGAGATCAAATCGCGGAAAAATTTCTAATTTTCTAATTTGATTCCAACTCTTATGCGAACGAATCTTGGGGTGTCTTTAAAACCCTAGGGCCGTCCAAAAGTGAGGGGGAGATTGGAAAAGACTTTGGAGAGCAGAAAAGAGGTAAGAACGAGAAGATCAACTCCAAGAACATGAAGATTCAATCGGGGTGATGTCGTTCTTCATCTATATTTCACATTTTCTTCTCTCTACCATGTTAGGCTAGATTCATTATGTACTAGGTTTAGATGAATTATGTAATATGATTTTTAATTTTTAATTTTACATTCTTGACAATCAAAAACACGTTTTAAGATAGTTAAATGATTTATATGAATTTATTTTTCTCCACAATTATATGTGCGAATGATTGTGTGAATTTGGTGGCTTATTCATGCATTCAAAAGAAGTGGAATATGTTTGACATATATAAATCATTGAGACATTCTTTAAGTGTTCATAAAACTTTCGTTGTAAGAATGGAAGGAACAAAGAATCCCATATTCATTTAACAATAACATTTAAATCATAATAACAATAATAAATCAAGGGGTTTATCGAAATACAATCATATATTTAAAAAAAATGGAGGGTTATTCTTCAAATTTTAAGATGGGAGAGAGAGAAAAGAATATTTTACACAAGAGTGGTCGGAGTTGGGAGCCAGTCGATTATTTGGATATTGGCTGGAGATGGAGGAATGGGCTGGATATGGAGAAAGCTGAGAGACGGTAGGAAACCTTTTGGTGTATGGGCGTTCTTCTTTAGGCCATGGTCGTACGTGGGCTTTCTTCTCTAAGCCGGATATTGGCCGGAGGTGGAGGAATGGACATAGAAAGCTTGGATCTGAGAGAGCTATTTGGGAGGAAAGAGGAAGATGTGAAATCACGTCAAGGGCTTTTTTCATTTCGGTCTTGCTACAAGTACATCACCCCTTACATAAGGGGTGACATAATAGCCAAGTTGCGCCTCCTCATTGGAGGGGGGCCTCGGCCCACATGTGGGGCCTCGGCACTCCTCCAATGAGGAGGAGGCACTTGGCTATTATGTCACCCCTTATGTAAGGGGTGATGTACTCTTAGCATTATTCTTTTCATTTTTAAGCCAAATAGCAACCCGGTTTTGGTCTCCCAAAAAATTTTATTTTATTGTTTCCAAAATTTCCATCATTTTGCCTGCCACATCATCCATTTTGAATTCCTGTAAGTTTCCTGTAATTATTTCCTGTACCCATGGACTTTCTCCATAAATTTTGTCAAACCACATTGCTTACAGCCGTGCTGGCTTGGGATCATCTGCTTGTGTACTTGAGGATGTGAGCATATTGAGGCCTTGTATGGGAGGAATTAAAATCGGATTAAAATTAAAAATATAGCCGTTATTGTTGACTTTTATTAGATGAGTGTGACCCAATAACGACCATATTTTCAATTTTAATTGGCTTTTAATCCCTCCCGAACGGGGCCTGAACCTTATCGAGTGTGCATGATGTTCCTTTCAAGAACCCATGCATGCCTAGTACCTATAATGATTATTGTTCATAATTTTTAAATAGCATGACTCTTTTCTTCTATTTCTAAAATGATCTTAGTTGTCACTCTTAAAAGAAAGAAAGTCCCCCTTGGTACAATAAGCGAAATGTCGAATTAAAATTGCTTACAATCATTATTTTTGTGACAAAAAAAATAAATTAAATCATCGTCATCGTCATCGTCATCGTCATCGTCATCGTATTTAGATGATATTGAATAGCTGGTACAATAATATGGACCGCACATCAATGCATTTTCTTGAACATATCATTACTAATACTCTGTTACCATATAGATAATGATGATCATTAGCGACAAATAGCATACAGGAATGGCCACTTACTTTCATTGCATGAAATTGTATAAACATGGAAGTTTAAATCATATTAAAAAAAGATAATTATCGTCACAAAACGTTTTGCATAAATGTATTACATATTAATTGCACTAAGATTTTAATCTTTACATATTATCATACTTATTTCCTCAACTTTTTTCGTCTTATTTTTATTCTTTCATTAATTAGCATATTTTGCACCTAATAATGATTTCTATTCAAAAATTATGTTGACGTGCTCTAAAATAAGGGGACGAATATTTACTCGCACATTTTTATTTGTTAGTTATTTGAAAATACGAAGGGCATAATTTTTTTTTGTCCTTTTTGCAGAATTTTTTGACAAAAATCATCACGAGACCCATAATGTGCTAACTAATGGAAAATAAAAAAATAAGAATGCGATAAAAAAAAAAAATCTGGGATATAAGTATGACAATAAATATTTCTTAAGGACCTTTGATGTAATTAAATATATGGTGTAATTATAAAAAACGTAATGCTAATATCTACTCATTAAAAGAATTGATCTTTTTGTCCATCACGCCAATCTTCGAAGTTGGCTCTACTCACTGCACAAGTTAATTCGTGCTCGCTTTTTAAAAAGTTGGCTCACTACCCCTACCAACTTCTTGGTTGGTGGGGGTAAGTGGAGCAGGCTCACGAGCTGCTCGCTGGCCCAATATTTTTAAAATTTTCATTTATATTTATGGTAATTGAAAAAATTAAAAATAGTGAAAGTGTTTGACTAAAAAAGTTATTATTTGGAATTCGAAGCGACTACCTGATATCTAGACTGAGTAAAAATCATACCTTATTCATATTTCGTATACAATTTTTTTTGAAAAAAAATTAAGTATACAATAACATTTGTGCTTATGAAATAAATAAAAAAATCTACTTACATCATGTGTCTGCTAATGCAGTACATAAACATTTGTGGAAGGATCAGAAGGTCACCTACTCAAGCCAATGACATACACAAACTTGTTCTTCTATAATATTTTGTAATAAATCTCGATCCATTATATGATTTTCCATGAAAGCCTTTGAGTCTTGGAGTGCTGATAAATTAGCGTGTGATTTTAGTAAATTATGGACATTACTGAAAAATATCGAATAGTGAAATCCTTGTGCATCCTATCCCTAAAGCAAATTAAAGAAGTCCGCCTAATGAGTGTTTCATCCCATGTTAGTTTTCCGAGCATATGATTATCATGTATTTGGAGCTAGGGAAAATGTAAATCGATATAGTTCGAACTGAAGTGTGAAATTTGAATGGTGATTAGACATGAATTGTCATTGTTGCAAAAGCACCAAAAATGGAGTCAGATGTGTTGAAATGGCCCGTCCAACACCAGCTTGCAGCGCTGGCATGAGAAAATGATAGCTCGACTCGCTGGCTACACTGTTCGCACTGAACATCAATAGTCCGGGCACTTCTGGGATTCTTAAGCTTTTTCTTCCTGGGCCACACCTTTTGGACTGTTAAATTTACTTGCCTTTGTTTCTTTGGATATTTTATCTATTTGGATTTTCATCTTAAAAGATTAATCTTGTTAAGATAAGTAATTCAAATTTTTATATTTTAATCTAGATCTAGTGATAAGATTTGGGGTTCCATTTTGAAAGGTTAACCATGTTAAGAAGAGTAGCTCAAACCCTTATAAATTGATATATATATTTTCATCTTTATTATATATGAGATTTTATCCCTTAACATGACATTGCAAAATAGTGGCTCGTTTGAACAAATCAATCTTGAAATTCGCGTACTCATTTTTTTGAATCTTAATCAAATCGAATTACTCCTTAGAGTTTAATGAACTCTGATATCATGTTAATATTTGAGATTACATCTCAAAATATCAACCTTGTTAATTTATCCCTTTTGCACATGTATTTTTAATTACACGTTCATACGATAAAATATTTATATGTAAACCCAAACTTTTTCCAACTTTTTAATCATACATTCTTAAAAAAAAAAAAAAAAATTATTCAATACAAGTTTTTTCAAATTAAAAGCCACCAAGGGCTAAATGAAATATTACTACTGGAATAGTTGTAAGAAGTGAATTCAGTAGAATAAATTTCACACATTCATAAATACGCCACATGTTGCAACAGCTACTTTTCTAATAACTATATATTGGACTTCTTGGAGGAGAATTTCTTCATCGGAATACATTTCCCTTTCATTGAATTCTCTTTTTTTGATTCCTCCTCGGCTGCTTCTCCTAGCCCCGCCATGCTGCTCCTGATCAATGCAAATATTGCTCATTTGGTAAGTTAAACTCTACAACTCGACAATATTAGCAAATCGAAATAAGCTAAAAACCCCTATAGTATTATCAAATTAATTAAACTAGAAAAAGTACATATAATGGGACCGGTTGGTAAGTACTAGTGCTATTAATGTACAAGCAACACAGTGAATGTGTGTAACAGGCACTGAGACAAAGAGTTTGTCTAGTAAATATATATCGTGAGTGTTTGGTGAAAGTGTTTGTTTCCATATTGTGAGTATTCGATCAAAGTGTTTGTCAACCATTTTCGATAAGTGTAGTATTGCTCGTATTCAATTCACATGCAAATGTCTGTTGAATTAATTAAAGTGTCCTCAACTGGAAAAATTGAAAAGAGAAGATTCTCCCTACCATATATTGTCCCAACCCCGCCAAGAAATGGCCCGGTTCAGACTAGAGCAGACACGGATCGTGCTGGAGGCTGACCCACATTCAGTCAAGTTGTGTGCGTGTGGAGCCTTCTCCTTCTTCTTTTTTGTTTTGGATGACCAGCCTAGTTTAACCGGATTCTTATTTCAAGTGGCCTTATGGGTGGGGGGTGTCGAAAAGCCTAGTGTGCTAAATAGGTGCCAACCTAGTTGAGATGTCCAAGTGCATCTACTTATTCGTATCTCCAAGAATCTGAAGTGAAAAAAAAGGGCAAAAGCTTGAGTTACCTTTCTTCATTGTGGGAGGATGATTTCTTCAATCCAGGTTCAACCTGAATTCTTTCTTCAATAGACATCGACTCAACAATGCTCCCACTGAAGTACTCTTTCTCCTCGGACTGCAAGTTTCCGAACCTCGGATTCTCTGACATACAACTGATCATCGCATCCTCCTCCACCGCTAGCTTCGAGGCCGCCTTGCAGACTACCCCTTTATGCAGACCACCGCCGCCACCGTTCCGAGCCACCGTGACCGGTGTTGGTTGCTTCACAAATGCAGCCGGTACACTCTTCCTAAACGACCCCGATCCGCCACAGGCAATAAGGCTTAACAGCACAGAGTTTCTAGTCAATAATGGCTTGTTTCGCACCAAATCATCATCTTCAACCACCTTGGGAGTATTTGATGGAGGGGTTGAAACTGAACTTTCAAGTTTTAATTCAGTTCTAATGTTTTTATTTGGTTCTTCCTGTTGTAATTCAGCAATTTCATCAGTAGAGACTCCTCTAGAACATCTAGAATGGGGCGTAGTGGAGCTCGTATAGCTCGTTTTCTCCTCGTAGTCTTCTTCCTCTTCGTCCCCTACTGCATTTTCTTCGTCTTCGTCTCCACGATAGTGGTTGCTCACAAGTTCTTCTGGCTCGGGGTGTCGTTTTGAAGGTAAATATTTGTGTTTTGGCTGCAAATTTGTGTCTTGTTGAAATTGAAGAACATTGCCAACTTGAAGATGTTGCAATTTCTCTAACATCCAACATGAATTGTGAACAACATTAAAACATAAATAAACACAAATTTTAGCCTCAATTTAGGATTAAGTTTAATTGTCAAAAAAAAAAAAAAAAACTAACCAGTGCAACCCTCAATTAATTCAGACCCTTTGAGTACATATTCAGCTCCTTCTGATGGATAAATAATATCATTCTCTGCCAAGTCCTTCCATACATAGCCATTCTTGTAGCTCCTACAATCAAATATTACTAGTCATACATGCATTCATTACACGCATAAATTTCTCGGGTCACCAACTTTCTTGACCTTCTGGCATTGGACTGACGTTAGCCCATCGCCACTCATATATGCAACACGCTTGACCAAGCTTTAGAAAAGCTAAATTTAACTTTTTAGAAAAGCTTAATAATAAGTATAGGAAAAAAAAAGTTACTTAATAATAACTTTTTAGCTTAACAAATCCATTGTCTCGTGACTTTGACGAACCCTGTGCACACGTATATATTTTCATGCAATGTAAGCATATAATCTTCTCTAATAATGACTAGAATCAAAAGTGGGGAAGATTAAGGGTAAGATACCTTTTGCAAGACCAAGAATAGAGTGAAGGCATTCCTTTACCTCTTAGAACAGTAAGGCGATCCATAACATCTGTTTCATTCATTAAACTCATTACAGATGTACGATCATCGTACACTCGCTCATCTAAGATGAAAAAAATTCAAGAGAAAAACGCGAAATATTTTTAATACCTTTCAAACGAAGCTGTTGATGAACCAAATGAGTTACTTCCATGTAATGTGGGTGCTCAAGATGGCCATTTCTTGATAAATAGTAAACAACTTGAACATTCTTGAACGTGGGTTTGATCACTCTTTGTTGCATACATACTTTTGCTCTTTCTGGACTCATTTCTCTACACCTTGTTCTCCGTGGAAAATCCATTAAAAATAAGCACCATGAAATTGAAAGCACACCAAACCCTACTACCCCTTTTATAGAGGATCTACACTAGCAAAACAGATGTATACTCTTGGACAGAGACAAATATAAATGTCTCGAACGCCGTGTCTACAGAAAATTCTTTCAATCTAGGGAAGAGTGAGAAAAAATACTTCTTATACATAATAATATTTTACTTAATGATAAAGTGTCAAAATGTAAATAGAGAAGTTATTTGATTGATAAGATTTTGATCAAATTAAATTTCGTCACATCATTTGTTGATAAACTATTATGTAAGTTATTATGTATATCTAGCACAACCGAAGTGAGAATATATACATAAAAGTTGTTCTACATGTACATAATAATTATTCAATGGTTTACAAACAAATGACGTAACAAGATTTAATTGGATCAAAATTTTATCAATCAAATAACTTTCTCACTTATAATTTAACTCCTCGTCATTATATAAAACATTATGGACAAAAAAACATTTTTCTATACCGAGCTAAGTGTTAGTTGGGACAAGTGGATCGTTGTAGTGGCGTCAAACGAGCCGAGCGGCTCGTCGGCTCTCCCGCTCAACTCGTACTGTTCACGCCCACCAGCCGCTAGGGCTCGTCAACCCATTTTTACAAATTATTATCAATAATATCATTCATTTATTCTATAATTCTCTTTTACATTTTTTACATTATTATCTTAATTTTACAACCCATTTTATACATTAGTACATAATCTTCATTCATTTCTCAATTCTACATTTCTACATTCTATTTTCTACATTCTATTTCAACATTCAATTTCTACAATTCACAAATGGATCCAGAGCATTTGTTGAAAACTTGTTCGGTATGAAAGGCGAAACACCTGCCCAAAATCAATTTGGGAATGAATTTGCCGGTCTCAATGAACTACCAATTCCAGAAGACATTGAATATTTCGACGTTTGTGAATGTAGTCATCCCGATTCAATTGATTTGGATGACGTTGATGTTGATCCTAGTGTTCCTATTGATTTGGAACAAGATGAAGAACCTGCATTAAATATTCCCGATGCAAGAGGGAAGAGAAAGGGGAAGAAGCAGGCAAAATGTTGGGACCATTTCAAATTGGTTAACACTGGTCGTGTGATCGATGGACTTCCAGAAACGAAAGCAGTATGTAAATA